GATTTGCCTTTCTACCCAACTTGTGTGTATTATAATAAAATGAAAAGCCAGGGCAACTTGGATGAGAGGATTTGCTTAAGTCACATCGCACATTATTACTTCGCTAATGGCTTGAAATTAGGTGCTCTTCAATTCAACTTTCAGACTCGGTGGAAGAGCTAAATTGAGGTAAGAGGGAAATACCCTCGTCAACTATGTATGTAATGTCTTAAACCATGTAAAATTGGTAATAAATTTAGAAAATTGCATAGTTTAAGGCATTAGCTCAACTTCTCTAATTACCACAATACAAATCAGCCTCCCATTTAGATTCCTGGCTTCGCATAGTATCCAGTGGCTGAGCCACGTTATAGCCAGAAGGGGCTATAGCCCCCTCAACTCTTCAAATTGTGTAAACTTACGTGTAAAAGTTCTAACGAATTTGAAAAATAGAATATGTGGTTAGACTTTAGCCTCCTTCCCCGATTCAAACCCTTTGAATATGAATCTTTAGCCCACCCGCATTCAGATTTCTGGCTTCGCCACTGAGTTAGTATACGACCCCAAATTCTGTGATGCAATTATAATTAGTAAAATTATTTAGCATTTTCCTAATATATCAAGTTTATGTTGGACAAAATTGGTGATTATAAATAAAAAGTGAATGATAAGATCTAAGAACTCCCTACAGTGTCGTAGCTCTTGACCTAATAATCATTGATTAATGGATCATTACCATGATGTATTCGAATGAGTCATTTGTTTCATGAGTCATTTGTAATTTTCTCAATTGAGTGGTCTTCAAATGACTGGTAGAGGGATAATCATTTACTTATTTTTTTAGTCCACGTTTTCTAACTAGTTGGTTACCCGGACCCTTGGCAGTACGTAGTCTAAGAAATTGGTACTCTGATAGTGACTATATTACCAAATATCATAGCTGCAACGATGGACAGAGGTAAGTTCACAACACCATGATAATCTGATGGAAAGTTATTATCCTGTTGCATTACAAAAGAAACATTAAAACATAACCACTATAATGGACAATCCAAATGAAGTCATTAGCCCTAAATCTGACCACACTATTGCCAAGCACCGTAATGCCTCTAGAGTGAACGTGAAAAAATCAAAGAAATACTTACCTGGCTCCAATTTTCGATGGTCAAAATGGAAACCACCAAGAGATTTCATAATTAAAGAAAACCCAATCTGGATTTCCCTTAGACCAAAAACCACAGTGACAACAAAGGTTATGAATCCATGGTTGAGAAAACCAAAACCAGCAATGTCCAAATCAAGTCGATGAAATGTATAGGCCAGTTTTTTTTATGATAAATACAATTGTTAATTAAAATGACAGAAAAAAATATAAATACAAGTTATAGAAATCTCAGATACAAACAAAAGAAAAGGCAAGCAACATATGCCTAGTAACACCAACAAACACCAAGTTGTAGAGGACATACAATCACGATTCACAATTCCAGAATAACCACCTTAGATAATACAATCTTATGGAAACAACACTACAATTCTCTACATGTTTCCTGTGAGGGTGTGCAAGTGCAGATTAAGAAAAATAGAAGGATTGAGGAGGGAGCTTACTTGGTTTGCGGTTTTGATGAGCAAAAATTCCATCAATAAATTCCATGTGGAGATTTCCAATCGGTCCGGCCTAGACATGGGTATATTTCAATAGGCTATACTACAAACACAAAGAGTTCGCTTTGTTCTTCCCATGACAACACATGCTCACCATGTATTTATTCCTTTCAGAGAGAATAATATCAAACCACCGTGTATCTACTCTAATTATTGCAATCACTCTTGCTTTTTATATTGTAGTAACTAGAACTCTACTTTTAAATATGGAAGCAAGTGACCACTATCACTAAACATCATATTGTAAAAACTTATATGCAATCATGTGGTTATTTCACTCAAAAGAAACCATGTTTTACATGTTCAAGATAGCATTATAGTTTGAATAGTTTAATTCGGTAACGATCTCAGCTCCTACATATAAAATTTATAAAAAAGTGGTATGATTGAAGCTATCCCATATGTTAACACTAAACAGAATAATCTTTGCTTACTGGAAGTTAAGCACAAAAAATTACAAATAAGAAAATGATGATGCTGAAAAGGAGTATCATAACAAAAACATCAAAAAGTATAGCTATGTATCTTTGATCAACTCAGAAGTCAACCGAGAAAAGCAACCAAATGAATTCATGGTTAAGAAATCAGTAAATCACAAACTACTGTCAAAGAAACTAAATAACCCACCAGTCACTGTCAGCTCTCCAAGCAAGAACACTCAACATTTTCATATCTACCCCTTCAAAAATTTGCTCTGTCGTAAAAATATAGGTGGAGGAGGGTAGGCGGTTGTCGAGTCCGGTGGGAAGGTTTGAAGAGACGACAATGGTTGAGCTTTTAATGGATCGGGACACTATTTATACTCGATTACATTAGTTGCACTTTTTCCATCCGCGTTCAATAAACCAACATCACTCAATCTTTCCATATTTACCCCTCTTAAAGACAATTATGCTCCATATTCACTCAAAATTTCTGTGTTGAAAAATATTTTTGTTTTATGGTAGTTATAAAATTTAAGTCTACATTGAGAATTCTGTATCGCTTCTACACATTCAATACTGTGATTTGATATGCAATATTTGCACAAATGGCGTTAGGGTTACGATTTTAAAATTATTCTCCTTTTATAAAAATATAAATAGAATGAATTATTCAATTCGAATTAAAATAATCAAAATACAAAAATAGAAGGATCAAATACCAAAAGAATAATTACGGGAGAGTTTGTGGATTAGCTAACCAAGGTGAAAAATTCCTATGATTTTTTAGATATAAGCTTCATGTATGATTTTTATTTAAAACCATTGAACAAATTTCTTTAGTGTAACTGGTTATGTTTCTTGTCTTTTTTTCAAAGAGACCACAGTTTAATCCAATCACTGATGTATTTTTTCCTGTAAGTAAGAAAATATTAAATGACAATGAAGACGAATCAATCCTTCCTACTTTCTCTATGAATGCAAGGATTTTGTAGTGGGGAAGTACCTTTCCCATTTCACTATTATGTTAGGTGTAGCAAAAGTAATCGCGGTGGTTGAGTGTTTAGTGGGCCGGGCAGGTATTTGGGCCCGTTTACATTAATAGCGTCTTTTTCATCCGCGTTCGGCAAACCAACAATACTCAACCTTTCCATATTTGCCCCTCCAAAAATTTCTCTGGCGTAACAATAAAGATGGAGGAAGTTAGCAAGTTGTTGAATCCGATGGGAAGTTTGGAGAGACGGCGATGTGTATAGTGGGTCAGGGCATTAATTTGGCCCGTTTATATTAGTAGTGTTTTTTCCATCTGTGTCCGGCAAACCAACATCACTCAACCTTTCCATATTTACTCCTCTCTTAAAGAAACATGTGCCACATATTCATCCAAAACTTCTGTGTTCAAAAATATCGTTGCTCTGTAATAGTTATAAAAATTAGGTCTATGTTAAGAATTCTACATCGCTTCTGCACATTCAATAGTGCAATTCGATATACAATATTTGAACCCTATGACATTTGAGTTGCGATTTAAAATTATCCTCCTTTAAGATAAATGAAATGAAATTAATTATCAAAATCGAATTAGAATAAAAAAAATATCAAATAAGAGAGTATCAAATACCAATAAGAAATATTTATAGGATACTTAGTGGGCTAGCTAACCGTGGTGGAAAATTCCTATGATTTCTCAAATTTAAGCTTCCTGTATGTTGTAATTTAAAAGGATTTAACAAATTTGGTTAGTGTAACTGGTTGTTTTTCTTATCTTTGATCGAAGAGACCGCAGTTCAAATTCCATTATTTATATATTTTACATGTAAATAAGAAAATAATAAATGATTGTGAAGACGAATCTACCCTTCCTAATTTTAACTTGGATGCAGGAAATTTGAAATGGAGTTCAAGTTTCCCCATTTTCCTTTTATTTATTGTCTAAATTTTCAATTTAATTCAAAATTTTCAAATGAAAATTATCTAAGATATATTTATCATTGTTTAAAATTTTACATTATGGATGATTTATTTTTTTTATCAGAATCTGTATAAATTATGGATGAGTTAATTAATTAAGATGTTGAATGCCAGTTTAGTTTCTCCTTTTAAAATGTTTTTATAAGCACATGGTTGTGGATTGAATTATTAAGGGCAATTGGTAATAACAAGAAAATTTTTCAGTTGGCATACTCCAACAAAAAAATTTCCTAAAAAAAATATTTGATAGTATCTAAATTTTCAAATCATCTACACTTATTAATTCACTCATTTTTCAAATTCACCGTAAAAGAGAATTCATAAAATAACAGTACAGAAACAACAGGAGTTCCCTAATATGAATATTGGCAACACAGTTATACTCAGTTGAGAGACTGTTTGGACATTAAATATGGTTCGTGGTACTATGATAATACAATTAATTCAGTGGTTGAAAAAGCAAGAAACAAAGAGATTTTTATATGAACAGATGGGCGGCAACCGGCAAACATATGATGATCATGCTACAGATGCATAGTTTATTTATTTCCTGGCCATGTGAGTGGGGTGAGTTTTTTTCGAAAAACTCAGCACCGTTTAGGATCAAAATTTACCGCTCGCTTACTCTTATAGAATACATCAGTCAGTTTAAACTCTATAATATAACGACAAAACAGGGTTACAAATTGGAGATAAACAAATCACCTTGGCTTTGTCTTATTAAATAAAAACAATTAATTAAGGACAGCATAGCATAGCACCATGCTTTTGACAAATAGTGGTTTCCCTAAAAAAAAGTTTTATATATAATCCATGGCCCCAACTCTAAAGCCGCCTCTTCAGTCCTCACCTCTGTCCCGTATATTTTAACCCTCCTCTTCTCATCATTTTCGTCACAAAGGCAGAGAGAAACAAAAAAAAAAAAAAAACAGAGAAGCTTTGTTTGGTCTGTGGTCTGTGAAGATGGTTCGAGCTCCATGCTGCGAGAAGATGGGCCTGAAGAAGGGTCCATGGGCCCCTGAAGAAGACCAGATCCTCACCGATTACATTCACCTCTACGGCCACGGCAACTGGCGCGCCCTCCCCAAGCTCGCCGGTAAATTTCCATCACTATTCTTCTTCTTCTTTTTCTTCTGGTGGGTAGTTCACGATTTGAGTGGTAAAGAAGTAAAGATGATTGCATTTGCAGGGCTGCTGAGGTGCGGGAAGAGCTGCCGGCTCCGGTGGACCAATTACTTGAGGCCGGACATCAAACGTGGCAACTTCTCCCCTCAGGAGGAAGACACCATCATTCAATTGCACAACTTGTTAGGCAACAGGTAATTTAATTTTGCTTACATCTCTCTTTCTACTTGGAAACCCATCATTTCCTTCCCTACCTAGCTTCATCTTTTGTTTGATCCAACTTTAAGCCGTTTGCTCACTGGTACGTTTAAAATACAGAGAGAGAAAAAAAAAAATGTATTCGTTCATCAATCAGATCATATGAAACTCTCCGATATAATTAACGCAGAATTGCTTGCCCTTCTGGGTATAATTAGTAATTACTAGCAAACTCCCAATTCAAGCTAGCTAGCTAGCATTGGAAACCCAACACTATTAGTCATAAGTCATTGCACATAATAATCAGCCACCCAGCCATCAAAATTGATCCCCCCTAATAATTAAATCAACCAAGTGGGTCTTTTTATATAATATAATATAATATAATTAATTTATTTCCAACCCAGTCAATTTTATTACACTGCCTATGATCTGGATCTTCCAATCCACGGCCAGAGATTTTTTTCTTTTGTTATATTAGTGCTTTTAAGTTTTAACAAACAAAAAAACAAAACAACACATGATCTACGCTTTTGGTTTTCAGAGATTTATTATTAATTACTGCATCCTAATCTCCTGGATTCTGCCCACAACGATCTCATCTCACCATGTGACTCACTCACCGGTTTCATCAACTTGACACTCTGATTTTTCCGAGGTCGATGGGAAGGAATCAAACAATCAATCTCTCTTCCACCTCCCGCATCACTCATTCATTCATGTTCAGATTCCATTTCCCCATCCACGTTCACCCTAAAATTAATTATTATATTCCAAACCTACTTGCCTACTTCCACTTCCAAACAAAATTGGCACCCCATTTCATGCCAAAACTATGTGTATATGTTTATTCCTCTCCGCTCACTCACGTGACTACAAAGATTATGTTCAGTCACTTCTGATCTGCGATGGGGTTTTTTTTTTTTACTGCTACGAGTTCAAAATTTTTTTAACAGTTACCAATTTTACCGGCAGGTGGTCGACGATCGCGGCAAAATTACCGGGGCGGACGGACAATGAGATCAAAAATGTGTGGCACACCCACTTGAAGAAGCGCGCCATGAACCAAACTGACGACCAGACTACTACTACTTCTACCAAGCGACGATCCGCTTCCCTAAAATCAAAGACCGCAAGGAGCAATACCGATCAAGAACCGAAACCGCCGGCGGAAACATTGTCATCTCCGCCTGTTGCTTTACTCAGGCAGTGCTCCAGCGACGACGTGTCTACCCTGACGACGGCCACGACGGGGGACGACAACGGTGGGACCAACAGCGGCGCGAAGGCTGATGAGGATTTGTCGTCGTCCACGGAGGAGATGGACGAGAGTTTCTGGTCGGAGGTCCTGTCGGCCGATAACTCCACCGCGCCCGGCCCGGATGCGGAGCTTGGACCCGGGCTATACGATCCGTTTGTAGGTAGTGAGGGTGATGGGCCGGCGGCGGCGGCAGCCCTGGCCCACTCGAATGTGGACTACAGCAGCATGGACTTTTGGTACAACCTTTTGACTGCTGACAATAAGGAGCTATCCGAGCTCCCGCCCATTTGAGAAATGCATGTTTGTTTTAATTCCCCCACTTTTCTTAGAATTTAGGCAGGGAGGGTCTGATTAGTGTTTAGTGAGTTCTTGGGGCCGATTCCTAATTCCAATCTGATCTTTGGTTTTTCCTTCTCTGTCAAGAATTTCTTCAGATTGGACACTTTTGTTGTGGTTTTGCTGTTCAATTTGTCCACTGGTACTTCAGAGTAGGCTGAAACCAAACTGAAAGAAGCTAGAAAAAAGTTTGGAAACCTTTAACAAAGCCCATTCTCATGTCTTGTCATCTTTGCAACATGTGAACTTCTGATGGCTTCGACATATGGCCTGTAGCCTGTTCAATGTCATATCATCTACTAGTTCAACATGGTACTAGAGTGTACATCTAAATGAGATGATACAACCAAAATGTGACAAGTTATAGATTTAGAAATTAAAACATCATAATTTACTTTTGTAACACCACGTAAACATTTTTACTTGCCTCTAGCTAGTGTCCTTTTTGTTTTACAAGAAAGTACAATATATATATATGGTGCCTTCTACGGTACCCCGGGTGAAATCCGGGGTACCGCATACCTTGACTATGGAAACGGTATCTAGACCTCGAATTAGCAGGATTTTTGGGTATGATTGGGAGAATTAAGAACTAGATTTTGATCTTTAAGAGTTGGAGTATAGTATCATGTCCAAAAGATCGGTCAATTCAAGGTCTAGATAGTGTTTTCATACTCAAGGTATGCGGTACCCCGGATTTTACCCGGGGTACCGTAGAACTCGCCATATATATATATATTTATTATTATTATAACAAACAATCATAGGACATTACCAATAGTCAATAGACCAAGTTCAAGGCAGGTGTTATAAACGCGCTGCTACGGATCGGGAAATCATCGGAATCGATAAAGCAAGAATACGAAAGCGAGAATCGAAAAACACAGACACACGATTTACGTGGTTCACTAACACGATGTGTGTTAGCTACGTCCACGGGCGAGAGAGAGCCAGTTCACTATATCAAGGAGATTACAGAGGAGTATAAGAAGTATTTATAGTACTTCTCCATGTGGGTCAAAACCTAATCCAATCTGGCAAAAGAAACGGTTACAGACCAGGCCCAGCGAGACCCCCGATTACCAGTTGTAGCGGCTGATAGTCTGATTCAAGTCACATCAACAAATCTCCACCTTGACTTGAATCCTCTTCCTCTGAAATCTCTGATGTATTCTGCTCCTTCTATCTCTCTCCCGCCATCAATGCCCCGCAGGGCGGAGTCACCCACTCAAGACATTCAGCAAGTCCAAGCAGTGTTGGAACTTGCCATGTGGAACTGGCTTCGTGAACATATCAGCAGGATTATCCGCGGTGCCAACCTTCTTCACCTTAATCCTCTTCTCTGTCCTCAAGAAATGATACCTCACATCGATGTGCTTAGTCCTCTCATGGTGGACTTGATCCTTGGCCAAGCATATTGCACTCAAGCTGTCGCAATACACCACTGCCTGATCATGATGTAGACCCAGATCACCAACCAGTCCCTTCAACCATATTCCTTCCTTAGCAGCTTCTGTCAACGCCATATACTCTGCCTCAGTAGTAGACAATGTCACCGCCGACTGCAAAGTTGCCTTCCAGCTCACTATAGAACTCCCAAGAGTGAATACATAACCAGTCATCGATCTCCTCGTGTCAACATCTCAAGCATAGTCCGAGTCAGAATACCCAGACACCAAGCATTCTGTATCACTTCCGAAGCTAATCCCCACATCAGGTGTACCCTTAAGGTACCGGAAGATCCTCTTCACAGCCTGCCAATGCTCCTTTCCAGGTTGTATTATAAACCTGCTGACAACACTAACAACATGTGCAAGATCAGGTCTAGTGCATACCATAGCGTACATCAAGCTACCTACTGCACTAGCATATGGGACTCTCGACATGTACTCCTTCTCAGCCTCTGACTACGGTGCATAAGCTGAGGATAGATGAACATTTGAAGCACTAGGAGTATTTAAGGGCTTTGCTGAAGACATGCCAAACCTCGACAGTATCTTCTGGATGTAGCTCTTCTGTGACAAGAAAAGTTTCTTCTTCCACTTGTCCCTGTAAATCTCCATACCCAAGATCTTCTGAGCAGCTCCCAAATCCTTCATCTCAAACTCAGCACTGAGAAGCCCCTTTAACTTCTGGATATCAGACTTCGACCTCGCAGCTATGAGCATATCATCCACATATAGAACAAGATAGATCATCGAACCATCCTCCACCTTGTTGTGATACGCACAACAATCATATGGACTTCTGCTGTAGCCCAGCTCAAGCATGTAACTGTCAAATCTCTTGTACCACTGCCTCAGAGATTGCTTAAGTCCATACAAGGACTTCTTCAGCTTACAAACATAGTCTTCTTTTCCCGGAACCTCGAATCCTTCTGGCTGAGTCATGTAAATTTCTTCCTCCAACTCTTCATGAAGGAAAGCTGTCTTCACGTCTAGCTGCTCGAGCTCCAAGTCATAATGTGCCACTATTGCTAGTAGCACTCTGATCGAAGTATGTCTGACCACTGGTGAGAAAATCTCATTGTAGTCAACTCCTTCCCTCTGCGAGAAGCCTCGTGCAACCACCCGAGCTTTAAATTTCATGCCCTCTTTAGAAGTGATTCCTTCCTTCTTCTTGTAGATCCACTTGTTTGTAACAATCTTCCTTCCTTATGGTCGTTTGACTAGCTCCCAAGTCTGATTCCTGTCATGGGATTCCATCTCATCTCCCATTGCGGCAAGCCACTGATCAGCTTCGCCACCAGAAACGGCTTCTCTATAGGACTGTGGCTCACCTGCATCCACTTCTTCAACAACCTGAAATGAATACGCCACCATGTCCTCGAAACCATACCTCTTTGGAGGTACTCCTGCAGTCGCTCTCTTCGGTCTACCAGAAGCAATAGACTGTTAAGCTCGTGCACTGGACTCTGAAGTTTCTAGCTCTGTAGAGACATCCTCATCATGCTGATCTTCTCCACCTTGGTGCTCAAACTCACTCTCTTTGAGAGTTTGCAGCTCCACCTGCTTATCAACATTCCTGCTACCTTCAACAACAGTAACCTTCAACATGGGGTTAAACATAGACTTCTCATCAAATATCACATTTCTACTGAGTATAACTCGATACTTAGGAGGTGATCAGACTCGAAATCCCTTAATGCCATCTCCGTAACCCACAAATACACCCTTCTTTGCCCTTGGGTTCAGTTTACCCTCATCCACATGATAATAAACAGGTTACCCAAAAACTTTCAGTGAAGAGTAATCAACAGGCTTACCATACCACACCTCATAAGGAGTCTTCAACTCAATACCTGTGTGAGGTCCACGGTTGATCAGGAAGCACGCCATGTTCACTGCTTCTGCCCAGAATCTTCTCTCTAGTCCAGCATTAGAGAGCATGCACCGTGCTCTCTCCAACAATGTCTGGTTCATCCTTTCTACAATGCCATTCTGCTGGGGTGTATCTCTCACGGTCCGATGTCGGGCAATCCCTTCATCCTCGCATAATTCGTAGAACTCAGAATTACAGAACTCCAGACCATTGTCCATTCGCAGCTTCTTTATCTTCTTCCCGGTCGGATTCTCCACCAATGTCTTCCACTGCTTGAACTTCGTGAAAGCCTCACTTTTCTGCTTCATCATGAAAATCCAAGTAAATCTCGAATAATCATCAATAATAGACAGAAAATACATGCTGCCTCCAATGGATTTAACTCGTGAAGGACCCCAACAGTCGGAGTGGAGGTAATCTAGTATCCCCTTCGTCCGGTGGATACCCTTCTTGGGAAACTTGCTGCGATGTAGCTTCCCAAACACACAATGCTCGCAGAATTCCAAATTCTGCACCTTGTGCCCGCAAAGAAGATCCCTCTTCGACAGAACTTGCATCCCCCGTTCACTCATATGCCCCAATCTCATGTGCCAGAGAGTGGTCATATCTTCCTGATGAACCTGAGACGATGCAACTGCAGCAGAACCAGACAACACAGAACCTTGTAATGCATACAAGGTCCTACGCTTCACGCCCTTCAGCACCTTCCTTGAACCTTTGCAGACATACACAACTCCACCTTTTCCGTTGAGACTGAAACCCTTGATGTCGAGTAGACTCAAGGAGATCAGGTTCTTTGTCATTCGTGGAACATGCCTGACATCATTCACGGTACAGAATGAACCATCATGTGCCCGGACCTTTATGGACCCGATTCCAACGACCTTGCAGACAGCTCCATTAGCCATGACCACGTTACCACCATCTATCTGCTCGTAGGTTGTGAAGCAATCCCTGTTCGGAGACATATGGTATGAGGCTGCAGTATCCAGAAATCACACATCCCCACGATGTGCCTTCTCATCTACAGCCAAGGCGAGATTGTCTTCAGAACTGTTGTCCACTTCTGCCACGACAACTGAACCTTGTTTCTTCTGTTGCCCTCTTCTCTTGGGACAGTTGTACTTCCAATGCCCCACTTCCTTACAGTTGTGACAAGCATCACCTGGCTGTGGACCGGGACCCTTGGAATTCTTGTTCTAATTCCCTTTACCAGATTTCTTCTTTCCCTTTCCACCTGTAACAGCCAAACCCGATGCCTCACCACCTGTACCAGATCCAGACGCCTTATGCCTGATCTCTCTCGTATGAAGAGCAGACCTGACATCCTCCAACGACACGCTTTCTTTACCAGCAATAAAAGAATCAACGAAATTCTCATATGAAATTGGCAAAGAAACTAGTAGGATTAGGGCAGCATCCTCGTCATCAACTTGAACATCTATATTACGCAGATCCAGCAAAATAGAGTTAAGCTGTTCGAGATGTTCCCTCAAAGGCGTACCTTCTTGCATCCTCAAGCTGAACAACCGTTGCTTGAGATGCAGCTTGTTGGTTAGAGACTTAGTCATGTACAGACTCTCTAGTTTCAACCACAAGCTCGCGACAGTCTTCTCAGCAGCGACTTCAATGATGACGTCATCAGACAACGATAGCATGATGGTCGAGTGGGCCTTCTCCTCCAGGGTATTCCACTCATCGTCATCGACCGCTGCCTTCTTCTGTTTTGCAGACAACGGCCCTCACAGCCCTTGCTGTTTTAATAAAGCCTGCATCTTGATCTGCCATATAGCGAAGCTGTTCTTCCCCGTGAACTTTTCGATCTTCATGTTCACCGACATCATTCTTCTGAATCGAAAACCCTAACCTGATTTCCAGCCGCAGCTCTGATACCACTTGTTATAAACGCGCTGCTACGGATCGAGAAATCGTCGGAATCGATAAAGCAAGAATACGAAAGCGAGAATCGAAAAACACAGACACACGATTTACGTGGTTCACTAACACGATGTGTGTTAGCTACGTCCACGGGCGAGAGAGAGCCAGTTTCACTATATCAAGGAGATTACAGATTACATAGGAGTAAGAGAAGTATTTATAGTACTTCTCCATGTGGGTCTAAACCTAATCCAATCTGGCAAAGGAAACGGTTACAGACCAGGCCCAGCGAGACCCCCGATTACCAGTCCTAGCGGCTGATAGTCCGATTCAAGTCACATCAACAGAAGGCTAAAAGAAACAATAGAGAGTTAGAAGCCCACAAACTAAAGACCACGAAGACAAACCATAATCTGATTTTCCATCCCACTAGTAGGGGTGGGCAACTGGACGGGACATGATACCCGTCCTGTTTGAAACGGGTACCCAATCCCATTTATAAAGGAAACTTCATCCCATGTCCCAAATCCGTATGGGTTAACGGGTACTCGTTACCGGTACGGGACGGATAACGGGTACCCATACTATCCGTATATACCCATTCAACGGATGGGAAAACCTAAAGAAAAAAAAAGTTTAACACATAATTAAACAATTGAAGAGAGTTAAAAAGAAACCTACTGTCAAATAATGAGAAACCTACTGTTTAAACAACACCAAATTAACATAAAAAGAAGTATCTTGTATATATATTTGAATCTTTTTAGCCCCCAGTACTCTCGTCCTTTCCTTTTTCTCCCCATGAAACATTCTATTATAAGTTCACTAACCCCATCTTTCAATACATGCTGCACTATCTAATTTAATTACATGCATTACACTACCAAAACTCATTCTTTCATGCACCCCTACCACCAATATCACTACTCAAATCTATCAATATATATCACCATCACCCTAACTGCATGCATTCTCTCAAAAGCAATGGTAGTCAAAATAACGAGGAGCCGCCACCACCAGAAGTAGAATCAGCCGCCACCTCCAATTAAACAAATCTCAATAACAAGTTACTTATACAAACGGTATTAACTAGTAACCCGCGGGTACCCAATATAAAAATTATTGATTTCAAGTCCCATCCCCTATAAAAAATTACGGGTATTTGGGTACCCGTAACCCTTAAAAAAACGGGACGGATATGGGTATACCCAAATACCCGTTTCCCGTTGCCCACCCCTACCCACAAGCACCATCCAGCCCAAGACAAGGGTTACTAGTGATGGCAATTTTGACCTGACCCGTTTTATCCGATCTGTTTGGTCTGTTTCGGGCGGGTTCGACCCGCCCCGTAAGAGGGGCGCGGCGGGGCGGGAATGGGTACTCTCATCGATTCCACCTGCGCTGACCCGCCCCATTCTTGGCTAAATTACTTGTAATCTTAGTCAAATTACTTTGAATTTTCCTTTTATTACATCATATTTTAGCTATAATAAATTTGTAAATTAATGAAAACCTCAATTTCTCCAATAATTTAACTACATTTATCATAATATTGTTTGTTTTCTTGGTCTAATAGACAAATAAAAAATATTTCTAATGTTTTTCATAATAAATTACATACCCATTGGGTCGGCTTACCCGACCTGCGACAGGTAATAAATTACCCGACCTGCCACGGACGGGTCTGGGTACCAAGAAACCCTCCCCGGACCTGCCCCATTGTCATTCCTAAGGGTTACTTATCCTAAGCAGATTCTCCTGCCACTAGCAACCGAAGAAGACAACCATCTTCACGTCCATCATAGATCTGTGTTTAAAAAATGCAAAATACACTTTCATATCCATAACTATTCACGTTGTGACAGATATAGTCAAATTTTGAAAAATACAGAGCCAAAAATTAAAAGTTTGTAAGACTTTATTGTCAACTATAGTTAGGGGTGGCTATACGGTCCGATCCGGTTAAATTGGCCCAAATTGATCCGGTCCAGTTCGGGTTTTTTTATATTGAGCTTGTGGGGATTTGAGTGGTCTAAGGCCTGAAAGGGTGAGGAGTTGGTTAAGTTTTGTACTAAGTGCAAAGGTTTGTGACCATTTATTCAAATTACCCTTAAGTTTCCGGTGTTGAGCTCTCTTATCCGGTCTTTATCCAGTTTTTAATCCAGTCCCGAACGGTTTTTTTACCTCAAATCTAAGCCCAAAGAATCCGATCCCGGTCTGGTCTCGGTCCGGGTTATACGGTCCTGTTTCGGGTAAAACCAAAAAACCCTGACCAAATAGCCAGCCCTAACTATAGCCATTTTCGTTACTCCTGTTACTGTCGTCACGAACGCCGTCATCGCCAAGTGATGTGGCTTCCACCTGGATGACATGTCATCGCCAACTAGACTCGGTTTGCCCACGTCACCGCTAACTTGGATTCCACCAAAAAATTAATTTTTTAATATATAATTAATTAGTTCTCCTTCAATTACCCCATGTTGTGTTGCTAATTACCTTAGTCGTCTTCTTCCCATATCCGAAATCCAACAGGCACCCTTCTCTTCTTCACAATCGAGATCCCAAAAATCATGTGCAGCTCCACCCTTCTTCTTCTTCTTCTTGAGTTGTCGAAATCTATTTCGTTTCTCACCACCAAAGTCATCCTCCGCCGATGAACTGATCAGCCATCCCGGAATGGTCCCGTGATCTCGGCTGTAAGAGCAACAATGGTCGAGTGAATGGGGTCTAGAGGCGGTCGAGTGAGAGGTGGTAGGAAACCCACAACCCATCTCTTCTACAACGGCGAGACGAGGCGGTGGAAGTTCGTCAATTTCAGAGGAAGAGAAACAAGAGAGCATGGAGTCCACATCAAAATCGTCATCTTCGTACATTCCATCGTCGCATAAATCTTCCAATTTACGCCTGCTCTAGCAATATCTCGCAAGCTCACCTTCATTACAACACTCCCTGTCGCAGAGTTATTTCCGATTGAATTTGGGGTTAGGGATTTCGATGTAGGGATATGATGATTTTTAGTTTAGGGATTATGTAGGGGATTTCTTTTTGATGATACGTGATTTTGGAGATGGGTGTCCTTTCAATGTGGAGAAGAAGATGAAGATGGATGGGTGGGTGATCGATGGCGGAGAAGGAGAAGAAGAGGAAAAAGATGAAGACCATGTCTATTATTGTGTTCATCAAACTTTTCATTTGCAAAAGAACCCTAGAAAGAGGTTTGCTAACCGTAGGGTTCATGTCGCTAGTGCTTTGTCATCTTGTCTTAGCGTTATTATCATTTGCAAAATAACTTCTATCTCTCGGTGAAATTAAGGTTTCCTGATATGTAGTGTTCGTCTCGCCCAGAGGATTGAGGAAGAAGATGAAGAAGACAGAATTTGATTCGAATCGGATGGAGAGGTCTCCTTAATTTGTGTTTATGTATTAACGGTGCGTTTAGAACTAATTCTAGTTGGACTGGGTCTGATCATTGATTTTTGAAGGCTTTTAAATAACATTCAAAAGTGGGCTTGTACATGACCCATGGCACCTAGTTTGTTGATAATAGATACTGAGTTCCGGATTGTCATTAGGTTGGGCCTTTGATAATTGTCCATCTCAGTGGCGGTTCTTTGTTTTACTTGATTTTATATTTTATTTTTATCTGCTTCTGCTTTTAAAATCCTGATCATGCCTTGAGTCACGCAATTTAAACATAATTATGTGTTCCATCTTTTTTTGGGATTTGGTAAATGCTAGCGTGTCTCTTTCCACATTTAGCGGTACGAGGTAAACTACAATCCGTCCAATTTAACTCTTCATTAATTGGCCCTATTCCACTCTCTCACCGATTGTCCCTCTTTATACAATGCACTCGTACATAACAAACCTCTTGTAGACTAATTAGAGGCTTGTGGTTGGATACTGAGTGAAGATATTTTTTTAATTTATGTTTTGAAAAGAAAGTTAGAATTTCACTTTTGAAGTACCTATGTACTTTAGTTGGGCAAGTATTTTCAAAATGTAAAGTTTTATCAGCGTATAGGTACACGATTGTTGTATAAGGTGTTGATGTTAAAGGAAATGGGTACTAACTGCTTAGGGTATTAGGTTGTTGATGGTATAGAGTATATGGTATATGAGTAGGTTATAAGGTGTTGATGGTTTAGAGCATATGGTATTGATTGGTTTAGGGTGAGGGTATGTGTTGTTTTATTTTTTCTCAATTTTATATTTTCTTTATATCTGCTTATAAATGCTGATGCCTTATTACTAAAAAAACTTAGACATAATTATTGTAGCGTGACACATTTATCGGTACGAGATAAAATGATTTGGTGTGTGCAAGGTAGGTTCCTATTATCTATTTTGCCTTGTTGGTTATCCTTGTTGGTGATCCCGGCCATTAGCAATTCGCCACATATGGAATGAAAATTAGTTAGAGTTATTAAGTTCATCTTTCTTCATTTATTGTTTGATTTGAACCTGCATGTTTTTGCTTCAAAGGATTTTGTAGTGGCGTGGTAAAGACAATCCGTCCAATTTAACTCTTCATTAATTCCCCCTTTTCCACTCTCTCACTCCCCCACGAAGTAGAAACAATCCACTATGATATATTTACCGTTCATTTTAACCCTTCACTTAATAAGAAAGCGAAATTTCAAATGATGATTATAAATGTCATGTAGCTTAATTGGTTAATTGTCCTTTAGTTGCTGAGTTAATAAAGTAGTGGTTTGTGGTTCGATACTTAGCGACTATCAATTTTTAATTTATGTTTTGAACAGAAAGTTAGAATTTCAATTTTGAAGTACCTATGTACTTTAGTTGGGCAAGAAAAGTTAATAAACAATAAAATAGAAAAAGAAAATAGTTATCTATGTGGCATTGCTAGAAGAATTCCTAATTTAGCAATCTTGCTAGTTTAGAAAGAATTCCTCCATCCCTAAACCATTGCTAAGTTTTTGGCATCTAAGCTCCACTTATCTTTACCAATTGCTAAAAGTTGGGGATGGAGATGGTGACAATCAATTAGCAATTTCTAAAGTGGGCCCTTATCGCCCTTAGGGTTTAGGGTTACAATAACATATACCAAATTAGTAGATTAATTTTGCTAAACGAAAAAGTTAGTTAATCTACAAAGCCAGTCTAAAAGCACATCCCCATCTCCCACCGTCAATTCCTAAACTTTTCCTTTAATCCGACGGTGAAAGAGCTTCGATCCTTGCCGCGGCGTGTCACCCAATCAGATTTCGCCGTTTTCGTAAATTCGTATTTCCCCATAACCAGTGCTGGCGTTACCAAGGCCGAGGCAACGGTAGGGAGTGTGATTTTCAGTCAATGGGAAGGGCTGGAAAGGCAAAGTAATTTTATGAGTCCATTTATAAATTCTTTAATCAGAGAAGGAGAGACCATGCTCCGAAACCCGAGAGGCACTCATCTCCTGTTATTGTTCGTTCCTCCTCCTCTCAATCCCTGAAAAGACCCCTTTCTCCCATTTTCTCGATATGAAACTCTGAAAATCAACCCCATCCGCCTCTTCGTGCTCCTGTCCCATGCTTTATTTTCAGGTGAGTGGTAATGATGAGACTGCGTATTATTTTAGATCTCAATTCCTTTCATTATGTCATTGTTAGATCATGATTGTTAAACTAACTCCTTCGTTTTATTGTTTCTTCTGTTCTCTCCATACAGGGCCTTTGTTAGAGGCAGGGAGGGGAGCAATGACAATAAGTCGCCGTCTGAATATTGTCGAAAAAATCATCATATGTTGTTACGATTCCATAATAGGTGTTGTGGAACCCTACATCATATGATGGTTTTTTTGTGCATTGTTTTGTTTTTCAAGATTTGTACTTTTAGTGTTTGAGATCTTAATAATATATCGGCGAGGGATATTTCACTCAATAAAAATACTGTAGTTTATTTCTTGAGTACTGACTGTCGCCGCATGCTCTTGTCATTTCACGCCTAAAATAATAAAGTGAAATGTTGCACATGATTCATTTAGAGAGCAACCTCCATATCGAATTAAATCAAATCCATCCGACCTAAATAAAACGACACCGTAGAAGGCAGTAGTCTTCTTATAAACCAACGAGACACATAAGTAAAACGACACCGCACAAACCAGCAGTCTTCTTATAACCCAAAGAGACACATAAATAAAATGACACCGCAGAAGGCAACAGTCTTCTTATAAAGCAAACGACGCTGCTTCAAGCTGACAGTAGCAGTCTTCACATAATAATAATCCGAATAGGATAAGGACTTCCATCTTCACTTCAAGTTTTCAACACTGATCAAATAGTTGCAGCCCTTTTACACACGCATTCCAAAGAACTCAAGTGTCCAAAACTCTGGTCCATAGGTTGCTACTTCTGGTAACAGGCCTCTTCTGCAAAATCGATAACGACGATTTTAGTCGTACAAAAATATTGGATGCAACTGCATTGTGTAGACACGAACGATTATATTTATTCTTACCCTAGGTTGCTCGTAATCGTCGTCATCGTCATTTTCATCATCGGATGGCCCAGACCCAGTACACGTTCTTGCATTATTATTGGTAGAACCGCACTTACTGCAATGCTTTTGCCTTCCCTAAACCATTGCTAAGTTTTTGACATCTAAGCTCCACCTCATCTTTAGCAATTGCTAAAAGTTGGGAATGGAGATGGTCTTAGACAATCAATAAGCAATTTCCAAAGTGGGCCCTTATCGCCACATCACCAATCAAGCAAAAAACCCATTCAATAATTTCCAAACCCTACATCCCTAAAACCAATAAGCAATTGCCAATAGTGGGCCCATACAAAGAAAGAAAAAGTAATTGAAAAATAAAAAATATCCAAGGTGGCATTGCAATCTTGCTAAATAAGAGAGCACCCCCACATCCTTGCAATTGCTTAAAAGTGGTGCCACCTAGGATTCCACTAAATAAGCAATGGGATGGAGATGGTCTAAGGTGTTTATGGTTTAGAGCATAAGCCTATAAGGTATTGAAGGTTAGGGTATAAGGTTGGTAGCAAGGTGTTGATGGTTTAGAGTATATATGGTATTGATTGGTTAGGGTATAAGGTGTTATTGTTGTAGAGTATATGGTATTTATTGGTTCGGATATTAGGGTTTGGTTTAGGGTTTAGGATTTAGGGTTTAGGGTTACAATAACATATACCAAATTAGTAGATTAATTTTGCTAAACGAAAAAGTTAGTTAATCTACAAAGCCAGTCTAAAAGTACATCCCCATCTCCCGCCGTCAATTCCTAAACTTTTCCTTTAATCCGATGGTGAAAGAGCTTCAATCCTTGTCGCGGCGTGTAACCCAATCAGATTTCACCGTTTGCGGAAAGTCACATTTGCCCATAACTAGTGCTGGCATTACCAAAGCCGAGGCAACGGTAGAGAGTGTGATTTTCAGTGAATGGGAAGGGCTGGAAAGGCAAAGTAATTTTATGAGTCCATTTATAAATTCTTTAATCAGAGAAGGAGAGACCATTTCCGACACCCGAAAGACCCCTTTCTCCCATTTTCTCGATATGAAACTCTAAAAATCAATCCCATCCGCCTCTTCGTCCTCCTATCCCATGCTTTATTTTCGGGTGCAGTGGTAATGATGAGACTGCGTATTATTTTAGATCTCAGTTCCTTTCATTATGTCCATGTTAGATCATGACTGTTAAACTAACTCCTTTGTTTTGTTGTTTCTTCTTTTCTCTTCAAACAGGGTCTTTGTTAGGGCTCAAGATAGGGTGCATAACCATGGGTTATGCACCCATCAATAACCAAATCTAGACCTTTCATTTAGAAAATCCAGATCTAAGGATGGAGAATTAAAGACAATTTTTATTTTCCCTAGCTTTTTTAATCGGCTCATATCTTTTTCGTTTTAA